CTCTCTCTCTCTCTCTCTCTCTCTCTCTCTCTCTCTCTCTCTCTCTCATTTCACTTCAGTTCGTTTGTGTAGTTTGTTTATGATGTGTTGTTGGCCCGATAAAATTCTGTAAACAAGTATTCAATTAAGGCATGACATTTTATGAGCGTTGAAATTAGTAATGGTGCGATCGCCTTTGGGCTGCATTACTTTGTTTGCAACGAATCAGTGTTTGTGGTCACGTCATCGTCACCAATCCGGGCTCATTTTTGAAATTCCACAACCGAAAACGCAACAACAACACCAACACCAACAATGAATTAAGCGATTTTGAAATTAATTTTCAAGTTTCCAACAAACTTTATCACTTAATAATCTGTACTGTGATGCCCCTCACAGAGAATGAATCGAACAAGAGATATATTTATATATCTGATAACCAGTCGATTGAATAGCAAAGAGGCTAATTTTCGAAATGAAAAGAAAAGAAAAGAGAAAAACTCAACATCCAATTTCTTAATATATATGATTTATCATCTAAAATGTATATTCTTTATGCGCTGTGTAAACAACAATCGAAATAATATGTTTTATGACTAAAAAGTAGGTTGACGCTGCATTGTATTTTAACATATATAAATGCGGCCAAGCCCGAAAATAGAGATAAATCGTGGCCTATTAACATGTTGGTGAAATTTGTGGAAAAATATTTATACAAAATGGAATTTATGCATTTCGGATTCAATTATAATTGTTATTTATATGGATTTTACTTGCTTGATGCATTCAAAATTGCATTTGCATTCGAATGTGTAGGTTGCGTGGAATTTTGAGCCCAGCAAATATAATATAATCACTTGAAATCAGGAATACATACAAAAAAAGGTAATAACCATATGCGAAGAACATATGTATATAAACCCCATTTCCCACATGTTAACAACAACAACAACAACAACGAGAAGAATCTCTACTCTCTTTCTCTATCACGTGCGCTCTCGTGAACTTGCTAATATTTATTGTTACAAACTGTAACCATTTCTTTCCGTTTGCAACTTTTGACGATTTGATCCCGTAACAATTTTTCCAATTCCACAAGGATATAAATAAGCCAACAATTATACGCCATGCATTCACTCACTCACAGCCTACCACTTTGGATTCACGTTTTGTTCGGTTTTTGTGGTGCGCGCACAAATTGTTCAATTGAAAAATGCACGTCGAAATCCACTGAGAGGCATCAAATCGAAAGCAGAATACAGCACGAATAGAACAGAAATAATAATAAAAAAAAGCAACGCTCAACAAATGTATGCCGCGGAATAGAATTGACTTGGATGTCCCGAAGATATAATTCCAACAAAACCGAAATAATCATAAATAAAAGTACTTTATAGTTGAAACTGTTGAGCTTTTTGAGTAGAGAGAGAAAAGTAGCGAACATATAACACACAACCGAAACTATGTTGGTTGTACTTGTTCAACTGATTTTTCATTTTAAATGGGTTAGTACAGTTATTATTCAGTCGATCGAATAAAATGTAACCACGACCACGACAAACGATCTATGTATTCCGTGTATTAGTTCTTATAAATCCACAAGAGAGATCGACCACGGCTACAATCGCCAATATCCAATTGTTTTAACAATCGAAATGGGAATTTTTCTCAATATATTTCGATCTTGTTACTTTCTAATTTTAATGTCGATTGTCTGTTTGTGTGCGAGCGCGGCACATGAAATGCATCAAAGTGATATTTTATGGACAAATTACGTGCTTCTTATTGCTTGCGCGCACTCTTTTTACAGTACAAGTGCCACAATTCAATCGGTTTTCGTACCTCTTTCTCTCTCTCTCTCTCTCTCTCTCTCTTTCTCTCGATCTTTCTCTCTCTTTTTCCGAAATTCACCAAATAAAGAATTTTTCTTTTTGTATACCTCAATTTTATTTTTGTGTTCAATAAAAATCTATCGTGGTTGTAAAATGGTTCACACAATAAAATTTCAGCTCATTCAATATCAATATTTATCAAATAAAACGAAATTTGTTCTGTTTTTTGTTGTTTAAAATTTGTTTGAGCTGCTCACGGCGTGATTCTTAATAATTGTGCATTTAAATGCCGTGGTCATGTCATTAAAAAGCAAAAAGCCATGTGTACGATTTC